ACACCGAACAGAGAGATGAGTCAGAAGAGAAAAAAAAATATTTCCGTAAAATTTGCAAATAACTTGATATTAGAAGGCAAAGAGTATGGGCCGAAGCGATAAACGTCCTCTTGAGTAAATTGATGTGGATTTCATGAGGTGGTCAACTGGTGAATGAATGTCGGTGTTCTCACCGAAAATTTTTAGGTCCATTGAATTGAAATATTCTGTGATTTTGTGGTTGAGCTGTTTTGGTTGGGCCCCATTGAGTTTGTCGTTGCTCGACAAAATGTTTGTTCAATTAAGACTCGACAAGCAATTTCTCTATCTCCAACGTCGTATGTACTATTTACTTAAAACTAAATGTACGAGACTTGAACCGTAAGCCAATGCTAAAAATGCATGTGCATGTGACAAAAATTTTCATTTTTGCTTTTAATGATAATGGATTTTATTTTTCTCGGTCCATTCCATGTTATCACCATCAGTGCAACGAGAAGTGATTCCAATGCACCTCCGATGCATGAATGAAATGCATAATTCATAAATGATTGAAGAAAACCGACCGAGAACGAGGTGAGAGATAGAGCGAGAAAAAATAAACCATACACACAAACACAGAGGGAGAGAAAGAGATGGCATGATTTCAAAAGAAGGCATCTACAAAATGATGTGCAAGGTTCATGAGAACGAGAGGAAATAAGGCTTTCAACAAGCTACGATAATAGTAAGATGTTCCACAACAAAGGGATATTGCAACTTTTTTGACCAGAAAAAACGCCATCTAACGTCATGCCCGTAAATTATTTTACTGTACATTTAGATGGTAGAGCTTGAACAAAAGTTCGACACTATGCATAAACTTGGAAAGAGCTTGATAAACTTGATGAAATACATATATTTTATGGTCGTTGCAATACCCCTATGTTCCACAATCTTTTTGTTTCTATAAAACGCACGTGTGTGTGTGTGTGTTTGTATGTGTGCATGAGTGTGTTACTATTATTTATTAGAAGAGTTAAACATAGCCCGAACATATAGTATCCTTTTCACCTGCAAAAGCATATAATATGCATGTTAAGAGCATGATTTTGACTTGAAATGATGAAAACATGACTGTATACAAACGGTAGAGTAGTTGACTACTACGTCATAACATGACAAAGTCTATTGAGTGATGTTTGAATGATGGATCACCCAGTGACGCAGATAGGTGCGACTACTGCTTTACCGTTCTCCACGGATGATTGTGAGAAATGTGAATATATTTAAATTCGAGTAAATTTTATATGAATAGTTGAGTCGGTGTTGCGTTTTCGTCGAAAAGTGCAGAAATTTCAATTTTATTAGTTGCATACTTATGAATCTATCTTTCAATTTGACTCTCAATCATCTCATTGCCACCGCACAAAACACATTAATTGAATAACGCATACGTTCCGCCTTTACAAATAAAGTGATGTTTTTTTTTCTTCACATTATTTTGGTGCTTTTGTTGCAGTAAATCTACCAAAAGCCGAAAAAGCTCATCAATTTGTTCGCCGTTACTGCATCGAAATGTTCAAAGTTGAAAATTGTCCATTAGAAAATCATCTCGACAAAAAAGCGCTGAAATTCTTTTGATCTCGTCTGGAATATGTTTTTTACATAAGAGTTTACATTCATCGAACACAAGCTTTTTTTACTCTTCGATTGAAATTTTTAGCATTCTACTTTTATTTTTTTGCTTTATACGAATACCAGGCGGATATGAACGCAGATAGATTTCGAATGGGAAACGTGAAACGGGTGCGATTGTGTGTTGGGAATATATCGATTGCATTTGTTACCAAAACACGTGAAGACTACTCAAATCGGGTGCACTCACAACGGTATTGGTTTTTATCGGAATCGACGCGTGCGGTGAACATACACACAGCAAGTGTTATTTTCTCGTTTTGGAGTTTTGCAATTTTTCCTTTCATTTCGTTTCTTTTCGTTCTTCTTTCGTTTTCTGCTTTGTGTGTATTCATTTGTAAGAGGATTCAATTCGATGGAGCTTAAATAGATTTCATATGTGCGAGATAGATGTGAGAGATATGGAGACGAAGCACATTGATGTTATTGTTACACTTTAACACCCATCAAGAGCGTACAAAATGTCAGGCAAAGAAAACGGAAATATCTATACATATAAATATGAGATAAGATGAGATACGACGACGAGATGAAATGGATACGTGTGACGTTGATGTAGACTCAACCGTCTTTGGCAACATTGTGTGTGTGTGTGTGTGTGTGTGTGTGTGTTTTTTTTTCGATTCGATGCCATAAAGGAACACGATGAACGAGAGCGGAAACTCGACAGCTGCACAATCGAAATGATAAACTGGATGATGGGTTTTTGCAACAATAACAAATTGACGCGAGTCGAACGAAACGATATTGATAGAATTATGGTGTAGAAAATTAGCTTAACCCTTGAATGGGTCGAAACATCTGCAGCACACACTCACACACATAAGCAATGGTAAAAAACGGTCGTCAAAGTGATTGTTCGTATCGACCGATTGCAAAAAGGGAAATTATCAGCTCACCATTTGACAATTTCTGTTCTTTTACTTGTGTTTGTGTGCAAAGTATTTTGCGTAATATTTTGACAGCAGGGACATTTATTCGATAATAATCGTGTGTTTTTTTTTGTCAAATGTTTCATACACGTTGCGATTGGATCGTTTTCGTAAGGTTTAACGTAGAAAAATTCGGACGATTTATCTTTGTTTTTTTTTTTTTGGTTCGGTGATTTGAAAAACATGGATGGGAGGTAAGTGGAATCACTTGACATTGGCCGCTACCAGCAGTTGCTAGTTGATCGATGAGCATTGCTGCTGATATAAAACACATTCATTGAGTGCATTTCTACGTAGAATATTCAGTGTTAATTGTAAACAACGAATGCAAATATGAAATTCGAACAAGAAAATTCATTGACGGTATATTCCATTGCCAGTATCGACGGCCCATAAACTAATTAAACAACAAATTTAGTATATATCGATGAAATGGGAACAAAATCTGGATGAAACCGATTGAAATATGGATTTTTGTGCTGGTCGAGCTTAATGAAAATGCGGCAAAGGTTATGAGTTTGAACGGGCGGCAACAACGACGACGACAGTGACAGCGACGACAACGTCGGCCTTCGTATGAGATCAAAGATTATGCTATTTATGGAGTGCAAACTTCTGAAAGCCAATATAATTACATTAAATTAAAACCAGAATTCATAGTTACCGCACACATTCTCTCTCTCTCTCTCCTTCTCTTTCATATTCTCTATTTTGCTCTCATTCCACGATGTATTTTTTGTTCGTACAAAAGCTCGTTCGTTGTTCACGTGGACGTGGATTGTGAATACAATCTGATTACACTATAATGCTATTATCGGATTTCGATTAAATGTGTGCATTTATATTGTGACGAACCAATATCGAAACGTTGTAACAACAACAACAACAGCAACACCAGCAAAAAACGAAACGAAATCATGCACACACACATAGCGAATACGGCTACGGCTACGGCTTCGTGCTTATTTTATCGAAAATTCGATATTAGATGTATGTGTGTGTGTGTTTGTGTGTGTGTGTGTGTGTGTGTATGCGGCGAGAGCGAAAATGTGGCTGCTTTTATTTGATAAACGATTCAAGACACTTTGGCATTTGTATCGTTCTCTCAAACTCAACATGATTATGATTATTTCCAATAATTCAAACCCATTTGCCAGGAAATTTATCGAAATCAATGGGAAATGAGAGGATAGCTAATACAAAAGCGAAAACCATTAATTCCATACAATAACATCACATTACCGTTTTCTCTTCTCATTTTCAAAGAAAGGAATGTTTCATATACGGATCGAGTTTTTTTTTCGTTTATCGTAAATGCACACTGCGTGCTGTATCAGTATCAGGTGTCAGGTCATAACGCGAGTGCTCGCGCTCCAAATGATTTTGATTTAATTGACAATTGATCTTTGTTTGAAACGATGAAACGTGTATCACGTCGATACGATGTAGCATCTTTCATGAGCTTGCCGAAAAATATGATTTCATTATATCGGTCTCCCATTCCAAAATGATTTGAATTCATTGTTGTGCGAGAGAGCATTTATATAATAATGGGGATATTTACTCTGCTCAAACGCCTTTCGATTTCCTCTATCGGCCGTTTCTCGGTTTTGTTACTGAAAATAGAATCGATTTTCTTTATCGAAACGGAAAATCAGCACATAGACACCACAGACAAACGCTTACCGAGTAAAGTGATCGTTTCGGAATCGATATTCGATTTATTATTGTTTGCGTACACAAATTGTTATTTCGAACATCGTGAAATTCGTTCGTTTGTCATGGAATCGGTTTCTCTGGCCCACGGCCTGTCACTTTCACCAACGAATTGTGTGATTGGTTTCAATTCTTTTTTTTGTGCTTTTCATTTTCCGTTCGTACAAACCCCATAGAGAAGATTTCCCGAGCATCGTTCAACATTCGTTTTCATATGAATTATTGACGCACATTGTCGGAACAAAGCGAAAAAGTTTCTATCGTAATAATGTAATCATGTGCTCACACAGATTAATCATAACGAAGCATAACGGTAATTTATTATGGAACATAGCTTAAATCAGAGTTACGATATTAGGATATTCCCTTTTGCGAATTATCAATCACATTTCATTCGAATGAATGTTATATGGATAAAGTGTCGGTGAGACAGCAGAATCTCTAATCAGCAAATGATTGTCGTTGTCCATTATTTTCAACTATAAAAACAAACCATTTTCGAAAAGTTTGCAGATTTCAAGTGATTTTTTCTTCTCGCTATGTGTTTTTCAACTGTATCTTTGATTTGATTTGTATGTGTTCTATATTTGATACACGCGCAAACACGGTAAAATACAGACTGTTGGCGATGCAAAACAAAAAATCAAATCGTGACCTACATTATTAAACAGTAACTAAAATGAATAATTTACTTACGTTTCAGTGTCGCGACTTGTTATCAATACGATGTGCTCGTCAATGCGACGAATGTTTAAATCGTTTGTCGTCTAATACGCTGTTTGTCGCTGATTATGGTATTTATTTTTGACTCAATCGTTTTTGTTTCTGTTTGTTTTTTTTTCTTTCAATAAGTTTAATGTTCAATGTGTCCCATTGAACAATTTATAAATTTCGTTTTAAAAAATATGTAATTATTGGTTGATTTTCATACGACACGTGCGGTATTCGTTTTTATGAGTTTTGTATGCGTTTATCATTAAATGGTAATATGTTTGAAATATAAATAATCCAGAGAATTGATGATATGTGCTAATAACAATCGTGGCATATGATACACACCCGAACAATGCTATACAAGATAAACTTAAATGCGACGAGCAATTTGTCAAACACTCAACCACATTATTATGATGGCTTGAATAGTCACTTCGTTTAAAATGAGACCAGTCGTCTATAAGTCTAAGGTCAATTGTTTTTAAATATTTGTTCCGTATCTCACTCTTGTTGATTAATTCTTGTGGTATCGATTTGCTATTGATAAATTTTCTTTGACATAATGTGTGTGCAGTTAAATGAATTTTATATTAGATGTCACCGTGTTCTTTTCTCATTCATAAAAGATTAATTCCTATTTAAACGCAACAGAATTAGTACGTCAAATAATCAACCGTTGGCAATTCCTTATTCAAAATAAAAAAAATTCACATTTGTTCAATTGCAGCCGTAATTAAAGTCGATTTGAAGATGGAGATTCGTATCATTTACATATTCAGTTCCACGTTCGTTTATTCGTGCATAAAATTGTCTGTTGAGCCGATATTAAGAGGCCGGCATTTGATTAAAAACCCGAACAAAAAATTATGAAAACTTGCAGTATGCGCTTGGTCTACGATAACACATACGAACGATTGTATTTACATATGTGCACTTAAACGTGTAGTGTCGTTCGTACTGTTTCTCACTCGCTTCAGATGTGTGACACTTTATCGCAGTGGTTAAGCAATCCGGCATTTGATATGATCCTCTGAATAAACAATTGAAAATCTGTATAACACACACGAGAGCATTGAACGATTACAGCACCGTTTTATTATTATGCTTCTTCTTGGTCGTCGTCGTCGTCGTCGTCGTCGTCGTTGTTATTTCTCTTCGTGCGAATGTATTGCAATTTTATAGCCTTCGTTTTTAAAGTGAAGCAACTTTGCCAACTGGATATTCCTTATCGATTCGCATCAAAATCGAAAACACACACTCACTCACTTGCTCATAGAACGATTAACAATCCAGCAGTAGCAGCAGCAGCGGGCCAGATGAAGATAAAATGCGAAACAATGAAGCGATACACACTGCAATGCACTGCCAAGTGCCTCTCATGAAATTGTTAATTGTGTAGTCATGCCGAAAATCCAAACTGCACACATACTTGAGATGGGATATGTGCGAGAGGGATGCCCTTGTGTAAGATAGAGAAGTGGCACACTTAATTCTATCTATACTTCACTTGGTTTTTGGTCTTGGACTGTTTTCGATATTCGAATGCAAGCTGTCGATTGCTGATGTCTCATCAAATTCTTGTATAACTAGCGTTTTGCTGCTTATTCCTCGTAATTGTTCCACAAATCCAACGGTTCTGGTTCTAATGATTTTGATTCGATTTACCGACACGCATAATACGGAACACTCTCTCACGCGCGCTTTATCACACGATTCTATACTCGGGTGGGAAAAAAGCACGTCTCTACTTTTTTTTCTCTATCGATTCATGCGGCTGAAATAATGGAATGTCTTGTTCAACAAATTGAACAATTCTTCAAACACACAAAGAGAAACTTTTCATCTGTAGACAGACTTTGGGTGTTTATTTGTTTGTTTGTTTTAAACGGTTCTTTGGGAGTTCGAGAGAGCTCTTTGGCGTTTTTGTGTTGTTGGTTATTTTTGTTCTTCTACTTCTTCTTCTTCGTTTGTGGCGCTGAACTTTATTTAGATAACAATTTTCATGGAGTAACAACTTATTAAAAACAGCTTTTCGACCCTTTTCGGTGCACCGGTGAAAATGTGATTTTCGCTGTGGTGTCGGGCAATCGAGTGTTGAATGCAAGTGATTGCGATTTAGGCATTTAGCTTACAAAACATTTGCGTGTACTTGTATGGACCCTCGATGTGTATACAAACATACACACGCTCACACATATCTTGGGCTGTTTTGTAAATTCTATGATTCATGCTGTTCTATTCGGGCCAACTATGCTTTGATTAATAGCAATCTTTTCAGGCGATAGAAAAAATTGTTCAATGTTCTCTCGGCCTGTCTCACTCACTGTTTCTCTTACTTTTATGATACACATACGGGGGATGCCGGAATTTCGATAGAATTTCCGTATCGTTCACAATATTGTGCCCGACTGTACGCATGCACATTCGCACGCACAATTCCCAACAACACAAGGTTGTAGGGCAAAATGAAAGTTTGCAATCAAAGCCGACCGAGTGACAGGGTGTGAGGCACAAATAAATGCACGTTTTTTTATCGGTATGTGTGTTTGTGTACGAATCAAATTACGTACGCCGTGAAAACGATGAAAACAACCATAAACTTTTTGTTATGAATTCACTGAAAATTTTTCACCGTAAATATTTAAAGAACTTGCATATTTTTTTAGCCGTGTGTGTGTGTAAGTTGGTTTTGTTTGGTTCAGTTTCGGTTTTGTCGCTTCATCCCGTTCATTGGCTTTTCGTCTTTTTTCATTGCATTCACTGTTTCGTTAACGGGCTCCAATATCAACACATTGAAAACTCGGCGAACAAAATGTTTACGTCTGGCAAACACATGGGTTCTAACTTATTAACGGCACTCACGAAGAAAGGAAGAAAAAAAAACATAAAATAAAATCAGGAAAAAAAAATTTCTGTTCAAAAGTGAGAGAGAGAGAAAGCAAGAGATTGGGGGGTAGGAGAAAAATGGAAAACTCAATGAATGAATGAACCGGACCCCGGCAAACGAGAAATTATGAGAAAGGAAAATGAACTTGTAATGCTTTTCAATGGATATAAAGAGAGAGAGACTGAGTACGTGGCAAGCGTATAAATTTTTCGGTTTCACGTATTACAATTTTTAGTTTAATGTACACACCCACGCGAAAACGAATGCCATGCATACAATAGGACACACAAATTTCATTCTCAATTGTTTAGCTTTTTCGGTTCAACTATTTTTTTTCGGCTCTGTTTACTTTCCTTTTTTTTTGCAATCACCGACTTTTCGTGTTTTTATTATTATTTTATGTTTGTGTTTGTGTGTGTGTGTGTGTGTGTGTGTGTGTGAGAGAGAGTGTGTTTATTTTTATCGTATGTGTCTCGCCTTTTAGGCTATTATGTGCCACCGTTCTCTGTCTCTGTCGTGTTTGTGTATGTTTTTTTTTCTGTTCTCACCCCTCTGAAAATAGGTAGTTCAATTTCGTTTCACACCGATAACACTCACACAATTCTTCAACACAACCGGTATGATTGTATGTTTCGACCTTTGGTTGCGTTTTCACTCCATTCCAATTGGGCGTGTTTGAAATGCGATGTGTATTTGTTGCCGTTTAATTTTGATTGCTAATATTCGTTGACAACCAAATTACTGTCTATGCCTCACTCACATACTATGCTCACTGTAATGCACATTCAAATGCCATTAATTCGCGTTTGCTCTTTTCTGCTATTGTTGTTTATGGGGTTTTTTTTCTGTTGTTCTCTTCTTTTTATCTAAATGCCAAACCAGATACACAAACTACCACTTATTTTCTATCGTTTGAATATATGGAATATTTCAAATGTGATTTTGCCCGCGTCGGAGGCGGCCGTGGGTGGGATGGTTGGTTGGTTTGCTATTGATTTGCGGTGAATTTATATGATATTTTAATTGATATAAAAGCGGTAGACCGGAGCTTGATACGCACGTAAATGGGTCGAAGATTTGACATGAAATATACGTTCAGCGCCAAATGATTGATGGTGATCCGATTACGGATGTGTAGCGTTGTTTTCCGCCAAAATGCTTATTTAATTATACTTTGTCAATATTCCGTCAGCGCGCGTTTTCGACGCGTTATTTTCTTCTTTTTTTTCTTTTTTTTTGTGCTTAGTTTTTATTTCTTGTTTTTGTTCGGTTCCTGTTGGTGTTGGAACTTTTGTGTTTGGTTTCGTTTGTTTCTTTTTCTGGTTTGCACGCTGCAATGTGAAAAGCGGCAAAACACTTGGAACAATTCACTTTGGCAATTATCGCCGTTTTCTTTTTGTTTACATTTTTTTCTGTTCTATTCGTACTCGTCGTCGTCGTCGTCGTCGTTGTTGAGTCCTTCATACATTTACGACTTTGCTCACGCACTTTTATTTGCTTAGTCGTTTTGCTGTTACGTTAACGCCTCATGTGATCGAACTTCGATAATTCTATCGGGAATTTTTTTTTTCTGCCCGACTTTCTCTTTTTTCTTCTTCTATTTGTTGTCAAACGTTGCCGGGTGACACATTCCGCCAACTGTCAACATTCAATTACATGCTCTCGATATTCTCACTTTACTTAGCAACACTCAATTCAAACTTAAGGTCTTGTTTGTTCCACTTGATGACTATTGGTGTGTGTGTTTGTGTGTCCTTTTTGATTGATAATTCAGTTGATTTTGTTTTTGTGTTCTCGAGGGGAAGGAAAAAATGATTGGGCGTGACTTTTGTCCCGTGATTTTTTTTTCTTTCTATTTCTCGTGTTTTTGCTTCGTGCTTTTTTTTCACTTCTGCTTCTTCTTCAATATAACTGGTTTTCTTATTTGTTTTTGATTTTTACACACAACAACATCAAGTAACAATACAGCAAATGTAATTAGGCACTTCGAAAATTCTAAATCATTTGGAAAGAAACGATTAGCAAATACAATAAATAAAATTATAGTTGAGAATAAACGATCGAAATGCGTGTGTGTGTGTATGTGTTTGACAGAAGGAGTGAAGGCGGGAGAGAGAGAGAGAATGAAAAAGAATGAATGTGTTTTTGAGTGTTTGTAAATTGTGTGTGTTGGTTGTTGTTGTTGATGTATTATTTCTATGTGTATATTTTTTTCTTTATCCTTTTTTTTGCGCGCAACGCATGTTTGCTTCGGCTCATTGAGCCACGTTATTTAAGTTTGTTCGTTAATGGATTTTAGAATGTGGTGTAATAATCATGCAGACGATAACAAGCACCAAATATATGTTCCGTCATTCGAATTTCGCCAATGGCATCGATATAAAACAATAATTACGCCTATTCAGCTCGATAAAGTAGCGTTTCATTATTTGCGGTTTAGAAATCTTAGTGAGGCGATGTTTTTGCCGAATGATTCGATATTTCATGTATTTGTCAAAGGATAAAAGGCACAAAGCCAAACGCCAACACGAAAGCATTGGGGCAAAACGATAGTCAATCGGTGTATGAGCGACAGGAGTAGGGGATGGAGAGGTTGTAGCTCTTTTGAGTAATGTTTGTATGGAGAGAAAGGGAAGAAGACGGGGTTCCACAGCAATAAATTAGTGTACGTGTTCTAGATGATCGAAAACTGAGCGGTTAACACACAATGACACCACCAACGGTGACATTACAAATTGTGCACAGTGACAAATATCGGAAAAGAAATGCCTGAGAAAATTTACTCGCACTACTGCTGGCTCCTCCTCACATTGCAAAGCACAAAGTTAAACGCTATGTCATCACTTGCATAGCAAATGAAGCTTATTTAATATAAATGCAAATAAATTCGCTTTTCATTTGTGTGACATTCTTTCTCTGCCATTTCGTACACGTTTCTTTATCGCTTTCGCTAGTTCGGAAACAGACAATCGAACCGCCAATCGATTGGCATGTTTCTACTTTTCTTTCTTCTTCTATTTTTTTTCCTGTCATTTTTTCTTCAGTTTTCCGGGCAATTCTTTTTCACAGCGATTATGGGAGCTTAGAGGCGATGTTCGACTCATTTTCCATCTAAAATGTTCTCTTAATCTATTTAACATTCGTTTTTCTTTTACTCGCTCCTGACTGAACGTTGTCTGTCTGTATGCTATTACACAACCACTCCTCTAGTAATCGTGTGTAGCCCGTCATCAACAATACAAGCAAATGCGTTACTTGAAAAGAAAATGTGCAGCTGTAGTTGGTTCACAAGCCCTTGTGAAATATATTGGCATAGTTTTCTTTTTTTATTCCCCATTGTATCTCTCAAGTAACAAATCGATAACAACAGGTTATATCCTTTGAAGCTTCGTGATTCAGCTTCATGTGATGTGCTGTGAAGGAATCAGCATGCAAGCAAATATTAACGTTTTGTGTGCAAGAGTCGTGTGTGCAAAAGGTAACATCGATTCGCAGCGAACGAGTCCTTTTTTTATATGCCGTGCCTTTCTCGTTTATCGTCTCCACTCTCGGGTTCATTTATTATTATTTTTCTTTTATTTTTATTTCACTTTGTCTATGCCGTTACACGTTCGTTCTAGCGATACGTAAACATAATGTGTGTGTTTTTTACGGTAAACTATTGTCTTGAAAGTAGTCGGCTGATTGCCCCATTGCTATTGTTTGCAATGCAAAATCAAATATAAATATACATATTTATACGTGTGTGTGTATGGCAAATGTGAACGCGTGTTTTCTTCTACTTTGGTGCCATTCCGATGTTACATATTAGATGCTGTGTACTGAGCAACGGTGTTTTGAGATCACAGTTTCGCTACGGAAAAGCAAAGAAGACGACAAAAATCAGTGTGAGCAAGATCGACAATCCGAAATATGTGTGGGGACCGGAATAAAATAAACCGGACCCAAAAAATGCTCAACTTGAAATAATTCTCTTTTCTATGCACAGACCGATTTTTAACAGTATGCCCAGTTTTGTGAATGCAATATATACAAAAGCCTCGGAAATACCACGACACACACAGCAACTACAGAAGAAGAGAGAGGAAAAAAAAAAACAACAGAACGGCACCAAAATCGGTGAAATATCAAATAAATTTTCGGCTTTTATAGCATACAGAAAACGATTTTATTCTCTCCCTCTCTCTCTCCCTCACTCCTCTACTTTCCTCTGTTCTCTTTCTCAAGACCGAGAGAAAAAAAAGAGGATGTGATAAGGACAAAGGAAATTTCTTGTCGTTTTCCAGTAATAAAAGCCAACGACATGCTCGCACATTCGTTGCACAAAAGAGAGGAAAATTAAACAACGATTCAGGGTTTTATTATTCCAACTTTCTGGTTCTATTTATTTTTCTTCTTCTTCTTCTTCGTATTTTTTTTTCGTCTTTTTCGTCGGTTTTCTTTTAGTTTTTGTGTGCAATCCAAAGAAATTACAGCTTTTAAAAAGATGACTGATTTTAAAACTGTGCAAAGACGACGACGACGACAAAGAAGGAGGAAAAAACCGTTACACAGTTTGTCGCTGTTCAATTTGGTGGCTTTGATCTGTCAATCAAATTGATTGGTTCAATTTGGTAAATGTTACTTGCATAAAGTGGTCAGTTTGGCTCACTATTTTCTTTTTTGCCGTTTTTCATATTGGCTTGTGTATCGCAATGTGGCACGAAAATGAAGCACGAACTTTAACACCAACACATCAATACACAAGCATACACACACGCACACATACATAAAAATATATGTATTGCTAAAAGCCTCAATAACAACGATTGCACGTTTCAATGTCAGTCGAATGCAATATAGATCCAATCATTTTTCTTCGTTCACACTATTTATCGTAGCGTACATTATCCTTTTTCTAATGGATGCTCCCTTTCGGTGAAAGTGAGCACGTGTGTGTGTGACTAACGATTTCTATCCGAAATTGATGGAAAAATTTAGTAATTGTT